GACATGTATTACACCTTGGTCCTTCCATCCATCAAGAAGCTCTTCTTCACTCAGTGTCATCAAATCTTCGTCCGATACCACGCCCTTCACTGTATTCATTGTACGGTGTGCACTCACAGAGACGGGGATGTTACCAAAGGCTACGAGGTGCGAGAGTTTATTGTACTGTTCCTTGTCTTTTAATTCGAGAAGCAGATCTCCACTTGCCATCTTCGTGGCCTTATAACCGGTTCCAATGGTCTCTCTCAAGCACTTGGCCACAAGAAAGGGTGAGATTGCTCTAGCTTTTGTAGATTGTTCGCAGTGGAGGACATGGTATTTTGGGAAAGTTTCTCTGTTTTTCGACCAAAGTAGTGAAGTTGCGTCGGTGCGTACCCTTTTCGAGGCACGATCATTTAGAGAGGGGGTCGAGGATCCCATGGGAAAATGTGTATTTTTTCGGTAACGGCGCCTACCACCCACCACGGAGTCCAACAAGGGGACGTGGCAGAGCATGTGGGCATGTCTGCGCAACGCCAGCAGTACGCAGTTACTATAACCCAATATGGTTTACCCTAGTTTGGATAGCCACACAAGGTTAACCCTTGCCGCCTGGAAAAATGGGAAGTAAAATGAAGTGAGGAGAAGACAGGAAAGATGTAAAGTGAGAACAAAAGACGAAGATATAGGGAGAGAGAGATAGGAAAAGGCGACTGCCGATTTCCCCTGGGTGGGTCAGCCCAGGGGTGCCGTCTACGTGAAGCCGGGGCCAAAGGGGTGTGTTGCCTCTGCCGGGGGGCCTTAAAGGTCCAATCACCCAGCGTCGGCTCAACCCCCAGGATCCTCTTTTCCCCGGACACGGCAAAGCCACGCACGGCTAGGCGTAGGAGGGAGTAGAAACTCCCCCGTTAGCTCGGGTCCGTGGTGTCGCTACACACCAAACGCCTACTTGAGCAGGCGCCCCTGCGGGGCATGTATGCGGGCGTGGGTTCGAAACCCACTTCTGATATGGCTTTTTTGTACGCCACCGTATGTGCAAATCACTGTTCACTTTTCTTGTGGCGGGGGCATGCTGTCAGAATGGCCGAGGGGTCTAAGGTGCCACACTCAAGGGAACACCTTGCCCAGCAATGCGGGTTGAACGAGACTTCTGGTCCACGTGTGTGGGCGTCGGTTCAAATCCCACTTCTAACATGACCTTTTTGTACGCCACCTATGTGCAAATCACATTTCACTTTTCTTGTGGCGTGGGCGTGCTGTCAGAATGGCTGAGTGGTCTAAGGCGCAAGACTCAAGGGAACACCTTGCCCAGCAATGCGGGTTGAACGAGACTTCTGGTCCAGGTGTGTGGGCGTGGGTTCGAATCCCACTTCTGACATGACTTTTTGAACGCCACCGTAAGTGCAAATCACTGTTCACTTTTCTTGTGGCGTGGCCGTGCTGTCAGGATGACCGAGTGGTGTAAGGCACCAGACTCAAGGAAACACCTTGCCCAGCAAAGCGGGTTGAACAAGACTTCTGGGAATCCCACTTCTGACATGGTTTTTCTTGTACGCCACCGTATGTGCAAATCACTGTTAACTTTTCTTGTGGTGGGGGCATGCTGTCAGAATGGCCGAGTGGTCTAAGGCGCCAGACTCAAGGAAACACCTTGCCCAGCGATGCGGGTTGAACGAGACTTCTGGTCAACGTATGTGGGTGTGGGTTCGAATCCCACTTTTGACATGGCTTTTTTTTACGCAACCGTATGTGCAAATCACAGAAGCTGCGATGGCGTAGTGGTAAGAGCATCAGCCTCGCATACAAAAGGTCCGTGGTTCAAATCCCGGTGCCGCGCACTTCCCAACCGGATAAAAAATCCGCGTGGTGATGGAACTGCATTACGAGGCCTCGGGTGCGGCCTCAGCGGTAACCACCGCCAGGAACGCACTCTCTCACCAGAGAAGGATTGGCAACCCTGGTGCACTACCTGGTCACTACTTCCCACATGCATACGTCCAATAACTTACGGCCCTCAGTCCCCAGCAGCTGCGAAATAACTGACCACGGCGGTGGTCCTATCTGCAATGCAGCAGAGGGTGCTAAGAATTTCTGGATCCGGACAGGCCGCCATTGGAACCTGACCTTGGCAACGTTTAACACTAGAACCTTATCTATTGAGGGAAGTCTAGCTGTACTATTCGAGGAGCTGGAGGGTGTTAAATGGGATATAATAGGGCTCCGTGAGGTTAGGCGGACAGATGAGGCCTGTACGGTACTACAGAATGGGCACGTCCTTTGCTATCGGGGCTTGGCTGACACAAGAGAACTGGGATTGGGACTCCCAATTCACAGAAACATAGCTGGCAATATAGAGGAATGCTATAGCAATAATGAAAGTGTGGTAGGTATCGTAATTAAACTGAATAAGAGATACAAGATAAAGGTGGTACAGGCTTACAGGCCTACATCCAGCCACGATGACGCTTCAGTTGAAAGCTTCTATGAAGACGCGGAATCGGCAATGAGTAAGGTAAAAACACAGTATACAATACTGATGGGAGACTTTAATGCAAGGGTAGAGAAGAAGCAGCCTGGAGACCAGGCAGTAGGAGATTATGGCATCGGTACTAGAAACGCCAGAGGAGAGCTAATAGTAGAATTCCCAGAACGCAATTATTTACGGATTTTGAATACCTTCTACCGAAAACGAGGAAACCGCAAGTGGACATGGAGGAGCCCTAATGGCGAAAATAAGAACGAAATAGACTTTATAATGAGTGCACACCCAGGCATCGTGTAGGATGTGGAAGTGGTTAGCAAGGTACGATGCAGTGACCATAGAATGGTACGGTCTCGAATTCGCCTCGACTTGAGAAAGGAACGACAGAAACTGATACGCAAGTAGCCAATCAATGAGCTAGCACTGAGAGGGAAAGTGCAGGAATTCAGAGTCTCGCTTCAGAACAGGTACCTGGCTCTTAGGGAGGAAACCAACCTTAGCATAGATACATTGAATGATAATCTGACGATTATCATTACGGAGTGTGCAGTGGAAGTTGGAGGAAGGGTAGTTAGACAGGACACTGGCAAGTTTTCCCAGGAAACGAAGAATCTCATTAGGAAGCGTCAAATCATGAAAGTCTCAAGTACAACAGACAAAATAGAACTGGCAGAGCTGTCGAAGTTGATTAATAGGCGTAAGGTATCCGACGTTAGAAGGTATAACAAGGAGAGAATTGAACACGCTCTGGAAAACGGAGGAAGCGTCAAAGCAGTGAAGAGGAAACTTGGGATAGGCAAAAATCGGATGTATGCAGTAAAGGACAAAGAAGGCAAAAAAACTACCAAGATGGATAGGATAATTAAAATTGCGGAGGAGTTTTACAGAGATCTGTACAGTAGCCGGGACAACCACGACTTTAATACTATAAGAACTAGCAGTAACCCAGATGACACCCCACCAGTAATGATAGAAGTCAGAAAAGCATTGGAGAACATGCAAAGAGGAAAAGCTGTTGATGAGAATCAGGTAACATCAGATGTGATGAAAGATGGAGGACAGATTGTGTTAGAAAAACTAGCCACCCTGTTTACCAGGTGTCTCCTGACGGGAAGATTACCAGAGTCTTGAAAGAATGCTAACATAATCTTAATACATAAGAAAGGAGATGACAAGGACTTGAAGAATTACAGGCCGATTAGCTTGCTCTCTGTAGTATACAAGCTATTTACAAAAGTAGTTGCTAACAGAGTAAAGAAAAACATTAGAATTCAATCAACCAAAGGAACAAGCAGAATTTCGAACAGGGTACTCAACAATCGACCACATTCATACTATCAACCAGGTAATAGAGAAATGCTCAGAATATAACCAACCACAATACACAGCCTTCATAGATTACGAGAAAGCGTTTGATTCAGTAGAAATATCAGCCGTCATGCAGACACTGCAAAATCAGGGCGTCGATGAAGTATATATAAACATCCTTGACGAAATCTACAGGGGATAACTGCTACCATAGTGCTTCATAAAGAAAGCAACAGAATACCAATCAAGAAGGGTGTAAGGCAGGGGGACACAATTTCCCCAATGCTATTTACCGCGTGCTTACAGGAGGTTTTCAGAAGCCTAGACTGGGAACAGTTACGAATAAGAGTTAATGAAGAGTACCTTAGTAACCTGCGCTTCGCCGATGACATCGCATTGCTGGGTAACTCAGGGGACGAATTGCAACTCAAGATTACAGAGTTCGACAAGGAGAGCAGAAAGGTAGGTCTTAAAATGAATCTGCAGAAAACGAAAGTAATGTACAATATCCTCGGAAAAGAGCAGCGTTTCGAGATATGTAATAGTGCACTTCAAGTTGTAAAGACTATGTCTACTTAGGGCAGGTAATAACCGCGGAGCCGAACCATGAGATTGAAGTAACTAGAAGAATAATAATGGGGTGGAGTGCATTTGGCAAGCACTCTCAAATTATGACAGGTAGATTGCCACTATCCCTCGAGAGAAAGGTATATAACAGCTGTATCTTGCCGGTACTATGCTACAGAGCAGAAACCTGGAGACTTACAAAGAGTGCTCAGCCTAAATTGAGGACGACGCAGCGAGCAATGTGAAGAAAATTGTAGGTGTAACCTTAAGAGACAAGAAGAGGGCAGAGTGGATTAGAGAACAAATGGGGGTTAAGGATATCATAGCTGAAATCAAGAAGAAGAAATGGACATGGGCTGGGCAAGTAGCGCGTAGACAGGATAACCACTGGTCGTTAAGGGTAACTAACTGGATTCCCAGAGAAGGAAAGCGGGTAAGGGGGAGAGAGAAAATTAGGTGGGCAGATGAGATTAAGAAGTTTACGAGTATAAATTGGCAGCAGCAAGCACAGGACCGGGTTAACTGGCGGAACATGGGAGACGCCTTTGTCCTGCAGTGGACGTAGTCAGGCTGATGATGATGATGATGATGATGACGATGATGAGGAGGAGGAGGAGGATGATATGAAAATCACATTTCACTTTTCTTGTGGCGTGGGCGAGCTATCTGAATGGCCGAGTGGTCTAAGGCACCAGACTCAAGGGAACACCTTGCCCAGCAAAGCGGGTTCAACGAGACTTCTGGTCCACGTGTGGGCGTGGGTTCAAATCCCTCTTCGGATATGACATTTTTGTACGCCAACGTATGTGCAAATCACACTTCACTTTTCTTGTGGCGTGGCCGTGCTGTCAGGATGGCCGAATGGTCTATGGCGCAAGACTCAAGAAAACACCTTGCCCAGCGATGCGAGTTGAACGAGACTTCTGGTCCATGTATGTGGGCGTGGGTTTGAATCTCCCTTCTGACATGGCTTTTTTGTACGCCACCATATGTGCAAATCACTGTTCACGTTTCTTTTGGCGGGGGCATGCTGTCAGAATGGCCGATTGGTCTAAGGCGCCACACTCAAGGGAACACCTCGCCCAGCAATGCCGGTTGAACGGGACTTCTGGTCCACGTGTGTGAGCGTGGGTTCCAATCCCACTTCTGACATGACTTTTTTGTACGCCACCGTATGGATGAATCACACTTCACTTTTCTTGCTGCGTGGCCAGGCTGTCAGGATGGCCGAGTGGTCTAAGGCACCAGACTCAAGGAAACACCTTGCCCAGCAAAGCGGGTTGAACGAGACTTGTGGTCCACATATCTGGGCGTGGTTTGGAATCCCACTTCTGACATGGCTTTTTTACGCCACCGTATGCGCAAAGCACTTTTCACTTTTGTTGTGGCGGGGGCATGCTGTCAGAATGTCCGAGGGGTCTAAGGTGCCACACTCAAGGGAACACCTTGCCCAGCAATGCGGGTTGAACGAGACTTCTGGTACACGTGTGTGGGCGTCGGTTCAAATTCCACTTCTAACATGGCTTTTTTGTACGCCACCATATGTGCAAATCACTGTTCACTTTTCTTGTGGCGGGGGCATGCTGTCAGAATGGCCGAGTGGTCTAAGGAGCCAGACTCAAGGAAATACCTTGCCGAGCGATGCGGGTTGAACGAGACTTCTGGTTCATGTATGTGGGCGTGGGTTCGAAACCCACTTCTGATATGGCTTTTTGTACGGCACCGTATGTGCAAATCACTGTTCACTTTTCTTGTGGCGCGGGCATGCTGTCAGAATGTCCGAGGGGTCTAAGGTACCACACTCAAGGGAACACCTTGCCCAGCAATGCGGGTTGAACGAGACTTCTGGTCCACGTGTGTGGGCGTCGGTTCAAATTCCACTTCTAACATGGCTTTTTTTTCACGCCACCGTATGTGCAAATCACTGTTCACTGTTCTTGTGGCGGGGGCATGCTGTCAGAATGGCCGAGTGGTCTAAGGCGCCAGACTCAAGGAAACACCTTGACCAGCAATGCAGGGTTAACGAGACTTCTGGTCCACGTATGTGGGCGTGGGTTCAAATCCCACTTTTGACATGACTTTTTTGTACGCCACCATATGTGCAAATCACATTTATTTTTTCTTGTGGCATGGGCGTGCTGTCAGAATGGCCGAGTGGTCTAAGGCGCCAGACTCAAGGGAACACCTTGCCCAGCGATGTGGGTTGAACGAGACTTCTGGTCCACGTATGTGGGCGTGAGTTCGAATCCCACTCCTGACATACCTTTTTGTACGCCACCGTATATGCAAATCACTGTTCACTTTTCTTGTGGCGGGGGCGTGCTGTCAGAATGGCCGAGTGGTCTGTGGCCCCAGACTCAAGGAAACACCTTGACCAGTGATGCGGGTCGAACGAGACTTGTAGTCCACATATGTGGGCGTGGTTTGGAATCCTACTTCTGACATGGCTTTTTTTGTACGCCACCGTATGTGCAAATCACTGTTCACCTTGCTTGTGGCGGTGGCATGCTGTCAGAATGGCCGAGTGGTCTAAGGCACCAGGCTCAAGGAAACAACTTGCGCAGCAATTCGGGTTGTACGAGACTTCTGGTCCACGTGTGTGGGCGTGGGTTTGAATTCTACTTCTGACATGACTTTTTATACGCCACCGTATGTGCAAATCACATATCACTTTTCTTGTGGCGTGGGCGAGCTATCTGAATGGCCGAGTGGTCTAAGGCACCAGACTCAAGGGAACACCTTGCCCAGCAAAGCGGGTTCAACGAGACTTGTGGTCCACGTGTGGGCGTGGGTTCAAATCCCTCTTCTGACATGACATTTTTGTACGCCAACGTATGTGCAAATCACATTTCACTTTTCTTGTGGCGTGGCCGTGCTGTCAGGATGGCCGAATGGTCTATGGTGCAAGACTCAAGAAAACACCTTGCCCAGCGATGCGGGTTGAACGAGACTTCTGGTCCATGTATGTGGGCGTGGGTTTGAATCTCCCTTCTCACATGACTTTTTTGTACGCCACCGTATGTGTGAATCACACTTCACTTTTCTTGCTGCGTGGCCAGGCTGTTAGGATGGCCGAGTGGTCTAAGGCACCAGACTCAAGGAAACACCTTGCCCAGCAAAGCGGGTTGAACGAGACTTGTGGTCCACATATCTGGGCGTGGTTTGGAATCCCACTTCTGACATGGCTTTTTTTTACGCCACCGTATGCTCAAAGCACTGTTCACTTTTCTTGTGGCGGGGGCATGCTGTCAGAATGTCCGAGGGGTCTAAGGTGCCACACTCAAGGGAACCCCTTGCCCACCAATGCGGGTTGAACGAGACTTCTGGTCCACGTGTGTGGGCGTCGGTTCAAATTCCACTTCTAACATGGCTTTTTTGTACGCCACCATGTGTGCAAATCACTGTTCACTTTTCTTGTGGCGGGGGCATGCTGTCAGAATGGCCGAGTGGTCTAAGGCGCCACACTCAAGGGAACACCTTGTCCAGCAATGCGGGTCCAACGAAACTTCTGGTCCACGTGCGTGGGCGTGGGTTTGAATCCCACTTTTGACATTACTTTTTTGTACGCCACCTTATGTGCAAATCACATTTCACTTTTCTTGTGGCGTGGGCGTGCTGTCAGAATGACCGAGTGGTCTAAGGAGCCAGACTCAAGGAAATACCTTGCCGAGCGATGCGGGTTGAACGAGACTTCTGGTTCATGTATGTGGGCGTGGGTTCGAAACCCACTTCTGATATGGTTTTTTTGTACGGCACCATATGTGCAAATCACTGTTCACTTTTCTTGTGGCGCGGGCATGCTGTCAGAATGTCCGAGGGGTCTAAGGTGCCACACTCAAGGGAACAACTTGCCCAGCAATGCGGGTTGAACGAGACTTCTGGTCCACGTGTGTGGGCGTCGGTTCAAATTCCACTTCTAACATGGCTTTTTTTTCACGCCACCGTATGTGCAAATCACTGTTCACTGTTCTTGTGGCGGGGGCATGCTGTCAGAATGGCCGAGTGGTCTAAGGTGCCAGACTCAAAGGAACACCGTGCCCAGCGATGCGGGTCGAACGAGACTTCTGGCCCACGTGCGTGGGCGTGGGTTTGAACCCCACTTCTGACATGACTTTTTTTGTACGCCACCGTATGTGCGAAACACATCTCACTTTTCTTGTAGCGTGGGCTTGCTGTGAGAATGGCCGAGTGGTCTAAGGCGCCAGACTCAAGGAAACACCTTGACCAGCAATGCAGGGTTAACGAGACTTCTGGTCCACGTATGTGGGCGTGGGTTCAAATCCCACTTTTGACATGACTTTTTTGTACGCCACCATATGTGCAAATCACATTTAACTTTTCTTGTGGCATGGGCGTGCTGTCAGAATGGCCGAGTGGTCTAAGGCGCCAGACTCAAGGGAACACCTTGCCCAGCGATGTGGGTTGAACGAGATTTCTGGTCCACGTATGTGGGCGTGAGTTCGAATCCCACTCCTGACATACCTTTTTGTACGCCACCGTATATGCAAATCACTGTTCACTTTTCTTGTGGTGGGGGCGTGCTGTCAGAATGGCCGAGTGGTCTGTGGCACCAGACTCAAGGAAACACCTTGACCAGTGATGCGGGTCGAACGAGGCTTGTGGTCCACATATGTGGGCGTGGTTTGGAATCCTACTTCTGACATGGCTTTTTTTGTACGCCACCGTATGTGCAAATCACTGTTCACCTTGCTTGTGGCGGCGGCATGCTGTCAGAATGGCCGAGTGGTCTAAGGCACCAAGCTCAAGGAAACAACTTGCGCAGCAATTCGGGTTGTACGAGACTTCTGGTCCACGTGTGTGGGCGTGGGTTTGAATTCCACTTCTGACATGACTTTTTATACGCCACCGTATGTGCAAATCACATATCACTTTTCTTGTGTCTTGGCCGTGATGTCAGGATGGCCGAGTGGTCTAAGGCGCCAGACTCAACGAAACACCTTGCCCGGCGATTCGGGTTGAACATGACTTCTGGTTCACATATGTGGGCGTGGGTTCGAATCCCACTTTTGAAATTACTTTTTTGTACGCCACCGTATGTGCAAATGACATTTCACTTTTCTTGTGGCGTGGGCGTGCTGTCAGAATGGCCGAGGGGTCTAAGGCGCCAGACTCAAGGAACTCAAGGAAACACCTTGCCTGCAATGCGGGTTGAACGAGAATTCTGGTCCACGTATGTGGGCGTGGGTTCGAATCCCACTTCTGACATGGCTTTTTGTACGCCACCGTATGTGCAAATCACTGTTCACTTTTCTTGTGGCGGGGGCATGCTGTCAAAATGGCCGAGTGGTTTAAGGCGCGAGACTCAAGGAAACACCTTGCCCAGCGAGGTGGGTTGAACGAGACTTCTGGTCCACGTATGTGGGCGTGGGTTCAAATCCCACTTCTGACATGACTTTTTTTGTACGGCACCATATGTGCAAATTACTGCTCACTTTTCTTGTGGCGTGGGCATGCTGTCAGAACGGCCGAGTGCGACATTTCACTTCTGGCTACCGTCGCGTAGGGACGCGGAATGTTGTGCTCTTCTGGGGCGGTTCATGCGGCCAAGCTTGGCCGCGGTATTAGGCTTACGGAAATGTCGTCCCAGGAATATCGGCTAGCTTTGCCCCAGCTTCCACCAGGTACAACTGCATGCAATACTGTGTTTTTGCATGGCGATGTAAAGGTTCGCCCGTACCGTGTTGAGCATTTCCCTAATGCGCTCGATCGTCTCGAGCTGATGCCGGATGGGATGGCCCTAGGGGCATATCAGATGAACCAC